GGCAGGGGTAAGGATCAGAAGACTGCAAAGGGCAGGGAGTAGGATGTGGACGGTACAGGTCCATGGGCCATAGGCTGGTGTTGTGAGGCTGCCTCTCTTGTTTTTTAGCTGGTAAAAAAAAACAAAAAGATTTTGGTGCCTGAGTCACAGCTTTGGGAGAGGCCAGCTGTGACATCCAGGCACGCCTCCTGCCATGGGACTAGCTGTGAACAGGCTGCATATGACACTGTTGGCTCCACTCAAACCTGAGGCTGGAGAGTACCGTGGTTAGGGCCTAGTCTGGGGTGGTGGCATGGGGCATGATTCTTGCTTCACTGTGACCAAGACTTGCAGAGATCAGTGAGGAAAAAGTGCAAAAGGGAACAACTATTCGAATTCCTACCACCTGCCAGAGCATTTTGTGGACTTCATCTCAGCTTACCTCCATAGACACAGGGGCTATGAGACTCTCATGCATTTCCTAGGACAGGAACCTGTATCAGATGGGAGGATGCATTTGCCAGCAGTGAGAGTTGGAGTCTGACCCCAATTCCACCTGCCCTGGGGCATGTATTCCTCTCACAATGCCAGCTACCTGGAGAAAAAGAAAAAGAGAAGAGAGCAAGACACAAGCCCAGCAGAGGGGGAGACTCACACAGAGGCTAAATATAAGTGAATAAATACAAACAAACAAAACAAGAGTGGAAAGAATGTGAGGCCCTGGCCTGGCCAAGCCCGGAGCAGGACCTCAGGAAGTGGCCAAAGGTGGGGACAGCTAGAAACTGGCTCACTGAACCAGAAGCTTAGAGTCAGCTGGCCTACAACTTGGTGGTAAAGCTCTCACCTCAAGACACCTGAGAAGGGGAGGCTGGCATATGGGGAGCAGGGTCTGCTGGGAAGTGGGCAGCGGCTCAGGTAAGCACTCAGCCCCTCGGGCTGGAAAGGCCTTGCTCCTGCAGGTGCAGAACAGCAGGCTGGGCGCCAGCACAAGGGAGCAGAGACCGGGCCTTCCCAGCACGCTGCTTATTCTAAGAACAAACTTCCCACTGTGTAATCAGGGCCTCTATAATTCAACTAGGACACTTAATGGTAGACAGACATGTAAGGGACCTATATGTGCCCCAAGCCCTTCCACGGGCTCCTCAGTGCTGCTCCTCAGTGGCCTCCCTTACCCTCATTGGCCCTCCTCTGTATTTTCTGGAATATCTTCCCTAACACTACCTCACACCGTTTCATTGTTCCTACACACTCTCAAAGTGCAGCTTGGGCAAGACCAGTGCCCTTGTCAGCCATTCAGAATGCCCTGTGCTTTTTGTTCATGGTACTCAAGCTGATCCCAACAATAGAATACATCCCTGAGTGTGAGTGATTGTTTCAAAGTCTGTATTCCCCCTCAAGGGCGGGCTATGTCAGACTTATCCACTGTTTGGTGCTGATCATCCAGTACAAATTACTAAATGAACTCCTGAGGTCCGGGTGCTGCCAGAGCTGTATACCTAGCCTGTATTTTTCGATGCTTTCCTATATAAGGAGAGAAGGAAGGATGGGAAGATGGAAGGAAAGAAGTGATGGGAAGGAGGACAGTGGGATTGAGAGGAGGAGGGAGGAGCTAGAGGTCTCCCAAGAGCCTTAGGCTCTCTCATAGGCTGGCATTTAAGAAGGTGATTACCAGGGGTTTATAGCTGATTGGCTGTTAGGAGGTTGGGGTCTGGCAGAAGATGCAAATCACTGAAGGTGTGGCCTGGCAGGGTTTATCCTCCCTCTCCAGCTCCTTCTTTCATCCTCTACTTCCTGGTCCCTAGGAAGTAAGTAGTTTTTCTTCTATCAGTCTCATCTGCAATGCTGTCCTGTCTTGGAGCCAGCAGACTGGACTGAAACCCACATGAATGATGAGCCAAAATAAATATTTCCTCCTTTGAATTGTGGATGTCGGGTATTGTGTCTCAGCAACAAGACAAGACGGTGACTAAGACAAGGTCCTAAAGAAAATAACCTCGAGGTACAATGAGTCCTTGTAATTCTTCCACAGACTTTAAAGCCCTGCAAGAAAGACCTGGATCCCAGCCTCTTTCCAGTGCCTACTCCAGCTTTGGGCCTGAATCAGGCGTCAGGTTGGACTGAAAGGCTGCAGCACGGCACATCACTGTGAATCACAAGGACATACCATGCAAATGCTAAGTCCAGGCCCTGGGCCACTACAGGCACAGTAAACATTAGTCTTCCCTTAGAGAACACCTTGTCCAAACAACCACTTTCTTAGAAACAAGGTCTTATGTAGTTTAGACCAGCCTTGAACTCCCAGCAATCCTCTACCTCAGCCTCCTGAGCATGGGGATTATAGGTGTGTGTCACCACACCCTACCTCAACCACCTTTTTGGGGGATAAGGCTTTAAAATTATAATTCACTTTAATATGTTCACAAAATTATGCAATCATCACCACTAGCTAATTCCAGAACCCTCTAAACAAAGCCCATACCCAGTAACAGTCATGTCCCTTTTCCCCTCCCTTTAGCTTTTGTTAAAGACAGGAAAACTGAGGGCTAGAGAAGGGCAGTCCCTGACCTAATGTCACATCACCAGCTAGTATCAAGGTCCCAAAACCCAGCTTGCGACAGTCAGGAAAGCTGAGCTTTCTCGGGGAACCATCAGACCTGCTCTTGTACCTGAAAGAGGTGTTTAGCAATGGCCTATTAAATAGAGCCTACCAGGCAGATGTGCCCTCCAGCTCTGACTAACCCCTCAACTTTCTAGAGCCCCACTATGCCCAGAATGGTAGTGAAGACTTTTGAGGAATAGGAGAGCTACTTAGGGCATCATTTCCAGCTGTGGGATAGCCAAGGTCCCCCATGGTCAGTGTTACAGTTAATACACTGTGTCAACTTGAGCAGCTTAGAAGTTTAACCAAGAGACTCAGCAGGGAGCCAGGGTTCACACTTTGTAAACATCCTCATCCTGTGCAAGAAGAGGTCAAGGAGATTTTGTGAGTGCTTCACTGGCCTTGATGGGGGCATGGCCTGTGTACAATATAATGGAGGAGAAGAGGCTTGCCCTTTCCCATTTTTGCTCTGGCTGTTTTTGCTGATTGCTGCCTTGAAGTATTGCCCTGATGCCAATGTCACGCCACCCTGCCTTAGAGTCAGCTGATTATGGACTGAAACCTCCACAAACAATGAGTTAAATAAACTTTTCCTTTCTTCATTTGAGTGTTGGGGGTTTTGTCCCACCAATGAGACATAAGTAACCAAGACAGCTATGAATATCTTTTTCCCAAATGACCACATGGCCTCCTCCTCCCTTCCTTCAGCTTCCTCTCAAAGCCCTTTCTCTGTGAAGCCTGACCTGACTACCTCATATGAAATTGTGAACAGGTGCTGTTCCTCCCTGCGGGTATTCTCTGTCCTTCCTCCAGAGAGAGTTTTCCTCCACAGCCCCTACCATTAACCATTTAACACCCTGTATCCTGCTATGGTTTGGATACAGCATGCCCTGCCCATGTGCTAGAAGCTTGTTCCTCAAAGTAATGGGACCTAGAACTACTGGGATCTTTGCAAGGTGGGGCATACTGGGAGGTGAGTAGATCTTGGGGGCACCACTTTAATATGAATTTTACACATGCTCATTTTCCCTTTTATCTTCACTACATGAACTGATAAAGCATGAGGTCTTTACCAGAAGCTCATCAACTGAAACCACCCAATCTTGAATTTCCCAGGATCTAGCATCATGAACCAAAACAAAGTATCTGGCCTTTGGTATTCTGTTATAAGACACCTTCTTTTTACATGTTTTTTTTTTTTTTTTTTTTTTTTTGCCTTTTTCCTTTTTATCGGTACCAGGGATCAAACTCACGACTGCCTGCTTACAAGGCAGGCCCTTATGCCACTGAGCTAAATCCCCAGCCCCAAAGACACCTTCTTTATCTGGTCATTGTCTGTCTTCCATCATATAGCTCCACCAGGGCATGAGTTTTTTCTCCTGTGTTTAGCACTATACCAGTTTTTGGAACAGTGCCTGGCATGTTGAAGGTGTCGATGGAATGAATGGCTAGTGTTGCATCATTTAACAGCAGCGTTAATGGGAAGAGGTATTAATCCTGTTTTATAGATGGCAAGGGGAGGTCCAGGGTGCTCATCTGGGCATTTGAAGCAAGTTCTTCTGCCCTAACCTTGATCCACTCCGTGAATTTTGAACTAGGGTCAGAGTAACCATGAGGGAGCAGGGGTCAGGCTCCCAGTGTTTGCCATTGTTTTGGGGATCCTAGACATCACAGTCAGTTTCAGAACTAGCCTTTCCTACTTCCTGGAGTAATTCAGCAGCTCTTATGTGCCATGATTTAGCCAAAATAGAAAAAAGAAAGAAAAAAAGGCAGTGCTAGTTTTAAAAATGGCCTTAGCTGTGAGCTCCAGGACGGAAACTGCTGTCCATGAGGTCATGGGGCCGAGGCCCTCTGAGCAATGTTACCGACATTCCGACATTCCGTAAGGTGGGCTGGGCCCAGCATCCACACACTCTCCTTCCAGAGCCCGTGAAGATGGAGGGCAGACAGTGGCTCCATCAATAAGCCTGGAGCCAGGATGGAGCCAGGTTCTAGGCAGGCAGGGACACACTCCAGCAAACCAGCTGGTGCAACACCTCACTCTATAATCCAAAGATCTCAGGAGACAGATGGCAGATCTGAGCACACATAGGGGAACAACTCTGCTCTATTCTTTCCAAGGAGGAACTCAGAATGCTGCAGTGCTGTGTCAGTCACTTCCATAGAGGGCACTGGTCTTGGGCTTGAGTCCTGTACTTTGTAAATTCTATCAAAGGAAACATGATTCTTGCCCAAGAGAAGCTGACAGCCCAAGACTGGCTGTGTGAAAACTACTTGATCGAGTCTGAATCTTCACATTACAGCTGATGAAACCAAGGCTCAGAAAGGGGCAGGGACAGGCCCAAAATCATATGCCCAATTCACAGACCAGGCTGGAAGGAAGGCAATACCTAGACTCATGGGGACCAAGGTTGTATCTTACCATATCCTGCACTTAAATGGTTCCATTCCAGAGGAAGCCCTGCTGTTCCGGAAGAGATGCAAGGCCTTTCCAGAATCCGGTCTAAGGCTGTTTTCCAGGATCTGCTGTCAAGGCCCATTCCTCGGGGAATAGCTGCTGGCAAAAGCAAGCAAGATACTGATTATTGCTGGAGGCAGTAACAGAGTGGTTTAGATTTGTTGGGTGGTGAAGAGGTATGAGAAAGGATGAGAAGGGCAATGGAAGTTTCTCTAAAAAACAAACCCAAGGTATAGTATATTTATTTATTTTTACTTTCACTTGTACTTTCTGATTTTTCTGCATAACTAGGTCTTTGCATTCAAAAGGGATAAACTATTTAATTGGCAATAGTCTGGAACCCAGGGTTGTCTTGGCCCTGCCTGGCTGTGTGAACTTGGGCAGGCCTCCACTCTTCTGTGGGCTGGTCATAGAAATGCCAAGAGAGGGAAATAAATCAAAGGCTCCTGGCTTAGGAACAGCTCTGCAGCCTACCCATGGGGACCTGTCTAAAGAAAGAATGCAGTAGCTGAGGAGTGAGGCATCCAGGAAAAGCCAAGGTTCTAAAAAGCCCACTTTGGCTGTGTGCACCTCCAGTGCTGTGGGGAAGGTCAGGGATATTGTCTGAGAGATGTGCCCAGCCCAGCCCGCAGAGGGGGCCTCCCTGGAAGAGTGCAGATGGCTCATAGGCTTCAGCAAGGTCTCCTGGTGCTCAGATTCCAGGCCTGCAAGCAACCACTTCCTGGAGACCTGACTCCCATGACAGAAGGAGGGAGCCCAGAAATGGGACTGGTCATTCCTATCAGTGAAAAGAGGACTATGCCTGGAGTCAGTTATAATTGCAGTGGAAAAAGGCACCATCCTGAGTGATAGGATAAGGGACAGCCTGTCCGACCTTTAGGTGCCTGGAGAAAGGTCTGTGTCAGAACCTAATAGGTAAGGGCCAGACTCCAGGCTGCCACCCAGTGAAAGGTTTAAATAATTTTAATATGCATGAAATACTTAAAACCTAGCCCAGCATAAAACAAGTGGATGATAAAAAGTGCTCAGAGAGTTAGGTATGGCCTAGCTGGACAGCAACATGAAACAGTAAGTCCCAAAAGGAAGGAGCCCCTCAGTCCTGGCCCACCGGCTCAGCTGGATACCTTGTTTTGGAAAGCTCAGGCCCACCCCCACCCACATAGCCTCTAACCAGGATGACCATCTTGCCACTTATGGGGACAGAGCACCCTGACTGTTCTGGGCTGTGGTGTCTCTTTCTGGTCTCCCCTCTCTGCATTCCAGCCTGTGTGGGGAATCACAGCTTCCCATCTCTAAACTATTCCCCCACCCACCTCTATTCATCACTTCCCTCAGCACTGAGTTATAACTTAAGGCCTGGGATTCTAGGTTAGGTAGGGACCCCAAACCTTAGAGCTGGAAGGCAGTGGGTGCCTCACTGCCTCCCTCCACCCCCACAATGATGCACACAGTGGGGGAACTGAGTCTGAAGGGGAACCTCCCACCTCGCCTGGTGAGTCTAAGCTGAGCTGGAGCCCAGCCAGGCCTGGGCTTTCTCCCAACCTCCTCTGCTCTCACGGGTTCCCCTGAGGCCACTCTGGAAACTCTGCTTCCTCTGCCCCATGTGGCCGTCCCTCACCTGGTCTTCGTTTGCCATGTCCTCTGCAGCTCTGTCTGGGGTAATTCTGGGCAAGGGGGTTTACCCCCTCAGGACCATGCAGCTAATGAGCTTCATCTGTTCAGGCCAAACTCAGTCTGGTGGTATTGGGTCTCAGATGTTCCTGCTGATTGTGGTGGCCAGCCTCGATCGTGAGGCTGGGGAGAGGAAGACTTCTGTCTCTTTACATGTAACTGGATTCCTGGCTTGGGTGCAGCTGGTGCCAGCATTTAACTTCAACATCTTGAGCAAGAGAGACGTGGAACAGAACAGGAAGGCTGGAGGACAAATGCATTTGGGTTCTTGGGAACTTCTTTCAAAACTTTTTTGGGTCCTGAGCTGCTGTTTCAACTGAGCTAGCTCCAAAAGGGAGAAGATAGGGGCAAGTTGCTTGATGACAGCAAGTGCTGTGAACATTCTTTACTGGGACAAATGTCATTGTCTCCGATCTCACAGAAACTTTCTGAGTTAGGGCTGTCATTGATCAATTCACAGAGGAGGAATGTGAGGTTCAGAGAGGTCATGTAGAACTAGAGTGGCCAAACTGGGGTTCCAGCTCCCCCTCTGCCAGAGCCCACACTCTACCCTGCAACAAGTTGGGTCATTCAGCAGCCCAGAATGGTACGCTGCGGTCTCCTGGATTGGTGAAGGGAGAAGTCTGTGTTGTGCTGGGGTTTCAGACACTGAGGCTGTGGCTGCAGCTGACTGACACCTTGATCTTGACAAGGCAGATTTCACATTTACACAATGTGGGTCATCATCTCAAGTTCAGGTGAAGTGATTCTAATTGCCATCTTCACATTCTTTTTTTTTTTTCATCTTCACAATCTTAGCCATGCCCAGAACACCTTCTGGGAGCCAGACCCACTGTTAGGGGCTTTTTATTGGTCAGTTGTAAAGAACTGAAATTCTAAAACCCAGTTCTTTTCTAGCTGTGTGACCCTGGTCAATTTCCCATACCTCTCTGTGCCTCCATTTCCTTATCTATGAGACGGAGACTTAGATTATATCTCTCTCTCTCTCTCTTTTTTTTGTTTTAGATTATATCTCAAAGGATTGTGAAATTAGGAGTTAACATCTGAAAGGGCTAAAAAGATGCCTGGCACAGGATACACACCAGACATGTGTTAGATGACAATGCGCTCAACCTTGTAAGAGAAGTGTTCTTTTCTGCCGAGTGCAGATATGGAAACTGGTTAACAGTGTGGCGAACCTCACCTTTAGTGCATCTGAATCACCTGGAGAGTCTGTTAAAGTCTTGAGGGCTGGGCCCCACTACTAGAGTTTCTGGTTTGGTAAGTCTAGCATGGTCCTGGATACTGCTGATGCCGCTAGTCTGGGGACCACATTTTTGAGTCCCATTGCTCTAGTGGACTTGACTCTGGGTCTTATTATGCTAGGCCCAGCTGGGATCAGTACTAATAGGAGCAGTGATTTGGAGCCTGAGTAGGTGGGTGAGATTACAAAGAGCAAAACAATTTTAGACCAGCAGCCCCAGGCTTGTAGTTCTGAACTGGCTTCTAGTTCCCTATAAGACTTAAAGCACACTCAGTAAATCAGGGGTGACAATAATAGTCCCTCACAGGGCTCTGCACAGGTGAAACAGGGTGTACTGAGAAGCCCTGGAACAACTCAGACACTGCACGGTGGCAGGGTGGTCTAAGGGGCGATGTCAGGCACCGAGCACTTGCTGTGCTCCTTCCCTGGCACCGAGAGCCACTGCTGATGTCTGTTTCTTTCCTGGACCTGGGGTTAGGAAGAGACACCACACACTGTCCCCCACACCCATGGCAGAGGCCAGTGTGCTTACTGAGGCCACAGGCTTCATAAAGGGGCTTGTGTTCGGGCCACTCACCTCCCACTGTGCGCCCGGTGGTTTTCTATTTCAGTTGCTGTAAAAATATCACCTTTGATCTCAGCTTGTGGCTCTCAAAAAAAAAAAAAAAAAAAAAAGAAGAAGAAGAAGAAACCAACAGACTAGGTTTTCATTCACCCCTGCCCCCATCCTCATCTCAGCTCCCCACCCTCCACCCTTGCTCCATTCTCTTTCCACTCATCCCCTCCTCTCTGGGTCGCCAGCACCTAGCTAGACCTGGAGCATCTCAGCCTCTTAGGAATCCATTGACCCTTATATATCTCTGCCTGTCTCCCCTGCATGCCAGCATGGGTAGCTCTCTAAGAGGGAGTATAAATGAGGGGAGAATCTGGGAGAGGATCTCCTCCTCTATCCCTTTCCCTTCACTTCTGCTTGTAGACCAAGAATCTCTAAAATTCCTTTTTGGCCAGGTCCAGGCAACCTCTCCAGCTGCTGTCAAGCACATGGTATCAATCACCCGGCTGCATCTGTGAAGTTCATGCAAGAGCAGAGTGAGAACAGCTCCTGGGGCCTAAATGTTTACATCACTCCATCTACTCAGAGAGCCAGGGGACTGCCATGTTTGCTAGAGGAGTGGTCTTCAGGCCTGATAGCTCAGCAGGCAGGACCCCTCCCCTTAAGTTTTTTAAGTCTGACTCCTGCCACCTTAATTTTCTGGCCTGATAGGCATTTTGTGCTGATGGAGGTGTCAAACAATACTTGAGCCTCTGATTCACACAAGGCTTTGAACTGTTGACTTGTGTGTGTGTGTGTGTGGGGGGGGTCGTTTCAGTTTTTAAAATACCACTCATTTAATAAATACTTACCCACAGCTCATCTGCATCTGGCTGTGTGCTGACATGGCTACTGACTGCCCTTCTTCAAGTAGCACCCAATTCTCAGCCCCCTTTGCAGATAGAGACATAGGTGTGTGCAGGAGTCAGGCAACCCGGTTGACAGGTGAGTGCAGAGGCTGGGGCACCTGGAGGAGGTGGTACAGTAGAAATGGCTGAGAATTTATAGGAACCAGGGGCATGTTTGATAGAAGGGGCATCCCTGAACAGTTCCACACCAGAATGGCAGTTAAAGCACTTGACCACTCTTCCAGGGCCGAGGGAGCCACTGCAGGATTGGAAACAAATCAGTGTACCCAGTGTTTATAGCGAAGGCCCATCTAGGGGAATGGAGGGCCTGAGCAAAGGACGGAAGGTCCTGGGTGTGTGTCCAGGCCACAGCCTTGTTTAGCAGCAACCACAGCCCATCATGGCCCAAATTGTGCTCCTTGCAGGAAAGCACACAGCTTGGCAAGGCAGAGGGCACAACTAGTGTGGCCACCACTGGGCAGGGGGTTCAGGAGTGAGGCCTGACTCATCAGTGTCCCCAGGGCCCACGCCAGGGCTGGGCAGAGTAGGCGCCAGCAAAAGCGTGCTGTGGACTGAAAGAAGCTTTACAAATGCTCCCAACAGCCAACAGACTGACTTGAGGTATTTGTTCCTGCCGCACATTTTGAGACCTGAGAATTAACATTTGTGTGTCTGTAACCAGCTCCTGGAAGCACAGGACACAGCTGTAAGGTTAGGGTCACTAGGGAAAAAACCCTCCCAGGTTTTACAGGCTGATTTCCCATCTTGAATCCAGAACGTGCGTACACACGCGCGCACGTGCGCGTGTCACGGGAGGAACAAGCAACGGAAATTGGCTGGAACTGTCTGGACGGCTGGTGGCTTTGTAATGTGT